AGTTGGCTGCTCGTTACCGGTGGCTGGAGAAACCGGGATGTTTAAGAGTTCTATTGATAATTATTGTGATCGTAGCAGGAGCAGTCAATCTGCAGGTAGAGTCTACTTCTTTGCGGGATTAGGGATTCAGCGTTTTCGATTAGAATCGTCCGTTTCTATGTCTCATCACATTGTAGCCTTGAGCTTTACGATTGTAATGTTTCCTGTTATCTTCATTAATAATAATTAAGTTATTTGTTTTCAAAAAAAATATACTACATATATTTTACATATAATAATTTTATAAGTAAAAAGATTAAGCCAGTCGGCCACATTGTCCCAAATGCATCAATTTCAATATATTTAATAATGAACTTGATAGAGAAAGCGGTCCAGCCCAGCTGGTCGCCGACGCACTCTCCCTTACGGGAGGTATCGGGTTCAAAACTCAATGGAGTGAGTTTCAGCCTAGATTACTTCACGCTCCTCCCAGCCCCCCCCCCCCCCCCCCAGATGCCCCCTGGAGTTAAAAATAAAAATAAAAATAATACAACAACAACAACATCGAAGCCTTAATCCCAAAAGAATTTGGGGTCGGCTAACATGAATCGATCTATGATATCGATGCCAAAAAGAGAAGACGGACAAGAAAAGGAAAAAAAGTAAGATAAAATGAATAAAATAAAGATACATAAATATAAGATAACAATAACACAAGAATATAACCAAGATAAAAGAAAAATAAACAAAAGAGCATAAAAAAGCTAGAAGATAAAAATAACATAAGAATATACAAAGATAAGGAAGATAAACGATAAAAGAAACAAGAGAGGAAAGGTAGACAAGACATCAATCGTCCACATGGATGTGCGCCCTCCACTTTGCTCTCTCCAAAGCCATACTCTCATCCAACCCAAGAAGACGCATATCAGTTCTGATTACTCTAATCCAAGTCTGTTTGGGTCTTCCCCTCCCTCTCTTCTCTGACTCTTCTCCCCACCCCTCAAGTCGTCTAACAGGTGCATCACTCGGTCTTCTATGCACATGCCCAAACCACCGCAAACGAGACTCCTGCATCTTATCTTCTATAGGTGCTACTCCCACCTTTTGTCTGATTACCTCATTCCTCAGACGGTCTTTTCTGGTATGTCCACACATCCAACGCAACATACGCATCTCTGTCACACTCATCTTTTGAATGTGGCATTGCTTCACCGCCCAACACTCTACGCCATACATTAATGCCGACCTAATTGCTGTACGATAAAATTTACCTTTCAGTTTAGTCGGCATACCTCGAACGCATAGAAATCCTGAAGCACTTTTCCATTTCATCCACCCAACTCTGATTCTATGACATACATCTCCATCTAATTCACCATCCTTCTGAATTATGGATCCCAAGTAATGGAACATATCACACACCAGTATCTCCTTACCATCAAGAGTAATCCCACTATTGCTACTGCTTCTACCTCCACCGATCTTGCACTCCATATACTCAGTCTTGCTTTGGCTCAGTTTGAAACCCTTGCTCTCCAATGTTTGTCGCCATACTTCCAACTTTGCTTTAACACCGGATTGTGTCTCATCAATCAATACAATATCGTCGGCAAACATCATGCACCACGGTATATCTTCTTGAATTGACTTCGTAAGTTCATCCATGACTAAAGCAAATAAGAAAGGACTCAGAAGCAGATCCTTGGTGCACTCTAATAGTAATAGGGAACTCTGCGGTCCTCCCTACACTAGTGCGGACACTTGTAGTACAAGCATCATACATATCCATTATGATGCTGATATACTTATGTGATATGCCTTTTCAAGTTAAGGCCCACCAAAGAAATTCTCGAGGTACCCTATCATATGCCTTTTCTAAGTCAATGAACACCAAATGCATATCCTTTTTAGTGTCTCTATACTTCTCCATAACTTGTCTAAGAAGGTGAATGGCCTCAGTTGTTGAGCGTCGAGGCATAAAACCAAATTGATTCTCCGAAATTTTCACACTTTTACGTAGTCTTTGCTCAACCACTCGCTCCCAAAGTTTCATGGTGTGACTCATAAGCTTAATCCCTCTATAGTTAGCACATTCTTGTACATCACCCTTATTTTTAAATAAAGGAATGATAGTACTCTTCCGCCAATTCATTGGCATTTTGTTGTTTCTCCAAATCATGTTGAAGAAACGTGTTAGCCACTCGATGTCTTTCTCTCCCAAACTTCTCTAAGCCTCGATTGGTATGCCATCTGGGTCCACTGCTTTCTTCCGGCCCATTTTTCTCATAGCCTCTTTACCTTCTGTTATTTGAATCCTTCTCCCGAAGTCCCTATTTACCATACACTCTGGTATAGTAAGATCATCAATACCTTGGACTTTATTCCCGTTGAACAAGGTATCAAAGTATGACCTCCACTTCTCTTTTATTTCTTCGTCGTCCATTAATACCCTTTGATCGAAATCCTTCACACACTTAACTTTTCCGATATCTTGAGTCCTACGGTCACGAAGGCGAGCAAGTCTATAGATATCTTTTTCTCCTTCCTTAGAATCCAACTTTACACACAATTCCTTATACACTTTTCCTTTGGCTTCCTTCACAGCTTTCTTTGCTTTTCTTCTAGCCTCTTTGTACTCCTCTATGTTCTCGTCGCTCCAACTTTTGCCCAATATCTTATAGCATTCTCTTTTGGCCCTTATTGCTTGTTTTACCTCATCATTCCACCAAGATGTGTCCTTTTTTGGTGGCAGACATCCTTTAGATTCTCCGAGTATCTCCTTTGCCACTTTGTTAATGGTGGACTGCATTGATAACCACACATCATCCACGTGTGCGTTATTATCAATATACCAAACATCTTCCTCCAACATTTTGTGTGCAAAACTTTGTTGGAGATTCCCCTCGAGCCTCCACCATTTTATCTTTGGCTCCCCTTGTACCTTAACTCGTCCCCTCTTTTTACCTCGAAAATCAAGCACAAGCATCCTATGCTGAGTGACAGCACTCTCCCCTGGGATAACCTTACAATCAGTGTAGCTAGTTCTCCAAGTCGTCCGTACTAAAAAGTAGTCAATTTGGGTACTATTAGCTCAACTTCTATAGGTGACAAGGGGAGAGTCTCTTTTCTTGAACCAAGTGTTCATCACAGCCAACTCATATGTCGAGGCAAAATCCAGCATGTTCTTCCCCGTTTCATTTCTAGTGCCAAAACCATGTCCGCCATGGACACTCTCAAAACCATCACGACTTGGGCCCACATGCCCATTGAGGTCGCCTCCTATGACCAGTTTCTCTCCCCTTGGCACTCGTCGCACCACTTCCTCAAGATCCTCCCAAAATTGTTGAGTGATAGATGCATCCAATCCCACTTGTGGTGCATAGGCACTAACCACAGACACGATCTCATCCTCTATTATCAACTTAATGCTCATGATGTGATCGTTCTTCCTAAACACTTCAACCACACCGTCAACATAATCATGTGCCACCATAATGCCTACTCTATTTCTGTTCCTCTCTCTCCCCGAGTACCAAAGCTTAAAACATCCGGGATTAATCTCACGTGCCTTTTCTCCAACCCACTTAGTTTCTTGCATGCTCATTATGCTGATATTCCTCCTCTTCATAACCTCGGCTATCTCTGATGATCTTCCCGTAAGAGAGCCAACATTCCATGTCCCAAAGCGCAATCTAACACCCTGCCTTCTCTTCTTCACCCAACATCGACCCCCACCATGCCCTTGCATATTTGACACCATCCCCGGGCATTGGAGTGGCGCATCGCTTCCGGGCGATGACCTAGCAGCCTTAGCATTCTTATCACCACACCCAGGCCTATGAAGTGTAGCGTGCCCTTGCTCATTTGACACCACCCCCAGGCGGAGGGATGACACGTCGCTTACGGGCGACGACCTAGCTGTAGCGATATTCATATTTCGATTCATGTCATGTGATGTGACTAAGTGATACTGTTGGCCATCACGCACCTACCACAGCACCCTCCTCCTTTATCCTGGCTTGGGACAGACATGATACCAAAAAAATGATCTCATGGCGGAGTTAAACAAATAATGAACTTGATAAAATTTGATCCCTCGATTATTAAGTTTTAATTTGATCCTTCAATTATTGTTACAATGAATAACACTAGACATTTGTCTTTAATATTGTTGCTTTTAAGTTTTAATAACTTAAGAATAAATCATTAAAACTTTAATCTTCATATTTAAGTTATCCAGAGAAATAATTGAGCAGAAATGTACATGACCCCATTGAGACGATCTTTCATATCCGAGCAACGGAGACTAGAGCAACGGAGACGATCTTCTAGTTGACACACATCATCTTGGATGCAGAAAGATGGAATGATGTGTTTAGCTAGAGATCATAACTCCTCTATTTGTAACAATTGGTAACCTTAATCAGTCCATCATTGATTAGGATTAAGTCCATGAGTCTCTAGACATTTGAGTCCTATACTTTATAAGACAACATATATAGCCACTAATATCAATATCCATATGACCACTACTCATTTTTGCCTAAACATAAGATAACATATAACACACAATTAAATCCAATAAATAAATAAAATATTGTGAATATTACATGTAGTATGAGTCCATTAATTTAACGTTAACCATTAATTTGTTTGCACTATCGTGAAGCTCACACTTTTGATTCTCGTTTATTGTGACAAAATTCATACTTGAAAAATAAAAAACATCACGTACATAATAGTTGAATGATTAAAAGTGAAGAACTCAAATTAAATACTACTATTAAAATTGAAATGGTCTCAATAATCATAAGATAACAAGTGAAAAATTTTCGAAATCAAATATTTAAATATACAATGGTGCAAGTGAATTAGCAAATAAAATTAGAGGATTCAACAAATTCTAATTTTGTCATATGGGTTTGTACTTTGTTGACAAAATCGGCCTAGATGAGATATGGACCGGACTTTTCACCAAAATCTGCCCTAATACGGCCTAGATCGAATATGGACCGGATTTTTACCTTGCCAGGGTCAAGCCGCCCGCCCACATCTATGCCGTGAGCCAGATAAATTGTCGAAACCTCCCAAGGCCGTGCCGTCCGGTCTTGTGACGCTTGCTTGCCCTTTCGGTTTTATTATATCCTCTTCCTACCGATAGCGATAGTTTGCTATAGTGATTCAATTTTCTCCCGAGAAATCAAAGTAAACAATGAAAATCTGTGTGAAGACTCTCAAAGGATCCCACTTCGAGCTCCAAGTGGAACCAAAAGATACGGTATTGTTTTATCCTTTAATTTTTGTAATGTATACATGTTGGTTTTTGTAGCTGTGAGTATATAATCGCTAAGGTTTAGCGGCGATTCTTTTGTATTGGCTTGTATAGTATTGAAGTTTCAATTGAATTGGATGAAAATTAGTGTGTTCTGGAGGAAGGGCTGCAAAATGTCTGATCGTTATAGTTGACAGGTTACTAATCTGGGCACCGAATTAACTTGATTCGATCTTTTTTGTTTTTGAGGCATCTTTGTATGTTATTACATTCCATGTTGATTGAGTAGTTCTAATTTAAAGATTCTTTTTTTTGTTGTGAAAATTGGGGCTTTTGTACTTGCTTAAAAAACTAGATGAAAATTGAAAGTTTTCCTCACCAATGGAAATCACTAATTTTGTTGTTTTTATTTTACTTCAAAGTTTCTCCAACTTTTGGGTTTACTTTATTTTTAAGCAAATTGATGAAATTCCGATGTTGATTTTGTATTTTGGACCTTTCCTTGAGGCTTTGATATAATTTAAGAACCTGTATTGGTTTTAGATTGCTGATGTGAAGAAGAACATAGAGACTGTTCAAGGAGCAAATGTGTATCCTGCTTGCAAGCTAATGCTTATCCACCAGGGGAAAGTTCTCAAAGATGGCACAACTCTGGAGGAGAATAAAGTTGCTGAAAACAACTTCGTTGTTGTCATGATGGCAAAGGTAAATGTTCAGTGCTTTTACTTGTTACTATTATGGTATTCATAATGCATCTATTAAGGTTGCAAGTTCATGGTGAATGAGTAATGAAATGAGTGGAAGAGGAATGTATAACATTTCAGAATAAGGTAATTACCCAGATGCCATATTTACAACTTCATGCAAAATTGTTGTGAACAAAAGAGTTCATTAAAGAGAGAATATTAGAGTCTACTAGTCTAGTAGCTAAAACAATAAAAGAAAACATTTAAGATGGTATCTTCAGAAAATGTTTGCAATATTGTGCCAACTTCTTCAAGCATGCATTATTATGTGCTTTGATCTTTCTTTAGCTACACAGAATTACTATGTCAATTCAAACACAATAATGTATATTAAGTTTATATTAAAAAGTTATTTCCACAATGGCAATCAACTATCAATTTCAATGTGTTCTTTGTATGCATGGAGAACTTTTTTCTGGCGACATGAGTGGACACTTGACTGTCACACCACAACTTTAAAACAGAGGCAGCAGTGACAGAGAAGGAAGGTAGGCAATGGAGAATGGGCGCAGAATCGTACTGCTCAGAACAGATGAGTAGAGGTTGCATACGAGGTTGCATACGAGGAAGCAGAGATGAGGAGAGAGAGAGAGAGAGAGTAGATGAGGAACCGATGATCACAGGGATTTTTTGGATTAGATAAAATACAAATAATTTTAAGGCTTTAAGCGAATAAACCAGCTGGGCAGATAGGCCTGCTTTTATGGTTTAATTAGAGACCATAAAATTGTATCAGCAGATGGGTCAGCAGCTAGCGAAAATTGGAAAAAACAGGCCAGTTGTCCAGACAATCCAAAAGACCCAACATGGTGCCATATCACCATAACGCCACATCGGCATCCGTCATTGCAGAAGCCGTGCAGCGCGACGACGGTTCAGCATCGCCATCACTATACCGTGGCAGTTTGATTCCGTGACTGCTATCTGCCATGGCTTTTATTTGACAACACTATATTGGAGTGCCTTGCGCTCTTCGATACGTTTTGCATCATTATGTGTGATCACAATAAATATCATCTGCATACACTATCGAGGATTTCCACCAACGATTAGTACTTGTCAAATGTACAACATGATCATGAGCATTTTCATACAACCCAAGTTCCGATACCCTGCTGCTAAAAATAGCAAGCTTTAAGTACATTACAAACTAAATACGAGAGGAATTCACCCTTAAGTTAATCCAATGTTGTCTAAAACTAATGAAAATTAATCGTAACAAGGAGTCTTTCTGATCCTCTATTGAAGTATTTAGAAGCCAGATTCTAGGCTCTTAAAGTTGAAAAAGTTGGTAGCACATTGGTATGCAGTAATGTTGAAATGTCATCTAATTACTTGTGTAAATGGTTTTCTTTACCATATAGTTCATGTCAAGCTCAGAAAATATCTTTTCAGAATAATCCTGGGACCCGTGAGTGCCTGCATATTCTTGGAATAACAATGGCACTCTAATTTATTTTGAGAAAATAAGTTTTCAAGATGAACAGGAAATGTGTTCAGCCCAGGAAAGTTGTATATTCACCCTCTATGTATGAAGCATGCCAACATACATCTTGACCTAATGGACGTCTTATGGATTAGTGATATGTCATTGTGTTGATCCTTTTTTCCTTCATGATGTTTTTTCAACTTTTAACTTACCTCACATACTTCACAGAAGCTGGCGTACAGCGTACTGCACTATATGATCTCTTTTTCACCACTTTATCTTCATAGTTACTCTTTGAGGGCTTCATGCAAGCCATATCTTGTGAAGGCTCAATGAATTTTATTCATAGCTGATTTTTCTTTTTGTATCTGGTTATTCAAATTTGTGGCATTTTAAGAGTAAGAGCACACCTGGAGAAGGTTCAGCATCTGCTACACCTGCAGCCAAGGTTGGTAAAACTATACTTAATAGTTAATACTATAAAATATTTATCATTTTGCTTATTTACTGAAGGTGAGATAAAATGTACATGACTGTATTTTCGTATCGTATATTACCAAATGCAACGAAGACATTCTAGTATTTCTAGTATAACAAAAAATCTACAACTCTAGGAAAGGATTATTATTCCTTTGTACTGATTCTGAAATGTTCATTTATTTGGGTTCCAATAGTACTTTTAGAGTTTTAGTTCACTGTGAACAACTAAATGAGAAAAAGGATTGATAAAGCCTTTAATATTATGGATGCATATATAACTATTCTATATCATACTGTACTGTACTATACTTGTGACTGATGGTGTAGACAACTCAATATTGTTCTTTGGATTTGCAGGAAACACAGGTTACCAGTAACCCACCTGTGAGCTCAACTCCAGCTTCTACAACTACAACTACTGCGTAAGCTTTTTGCTTCAATATATTCTTGCAAATTCTATATTCTTGCGAATTCTGCTTTCCACTGTATAAGCACTGTTCTGTATAAGCTTAATTATTTTTTATGTTTTAGGTTTTTATGAACATCATCATATTTTTTCCCTGCTTTTGAGCTTTCATTATTTACTTTTAATTCCTGGAAATGTTTTGCAGACCAACTTCTACCCCTGTTGCAACCCCAGCCCCTGCACCTTCGGCAACTACTGGGTGAGCTCAACCTTCCAGTGGGCGACATGTTTTTTGATTAGATTATATCTACATGTAGTCATGTAGATCTTTTATAATCATTAATAACATCTTAAGCATTTTACATGGACAGATCAGGAGATGTCTATGGTCAGGCAGCTTCTAGTTTGGTTGCAGGAAACAACCTTGACGTAGCTATCCAACAGATTCTTGATATGGGTGGGGGAAGCTGGGACAGGGACACTGTTGTTCGGGCTTTGCGTGCTGCTTATAACAATCCTGAGAGGGCTGTTGAATATTTATATTCTGTAAGTTATGTTTTTCACATTTGCATTTTTCCTGGGGAAGGCTGTTTGCTATTGACTATACTAAAGGTGAATTTAGGTAGGAGTCAGGACATGGTTCTCTTCTCTGTAAAATATATAATCTGATCAGAGTTTTTTACATATGGTGGTTTGGATCTTGGGTCTGAACCTTTCTTGCCTGGTCTGGTATCAATATTTGTGGCCTGATGTTTTCGATCTTGACTTAATTTCATGTCTGAAATCTAACATCTGTTTGATATGTATATGGTCTGGCCTGTCGGTCATAGTTTGGTACATCTATTGCCTAAAAAGCTACTATGGACATAACCATACAACGGTTCTTTTCAGGGTATCCCTGAGTCAGCTGAAGTCCCTCCTGTGGGAGGTGGTAATATACCTGCAGAGCAAGCTACAAACCAGACTGCTCTGCCTCAGCAAGCGACACAACCTGTGAATGTTCCTTCAAGTGTTCCAAATGCAAATCCTCTAGATTTATTTCCACAGGCATGATTAAGTTCACAATTCTTATTTGTTTGAGTAGTTCTATATAATCTTGTCAATGGATATGAACAATTAGTTCTTTTTGACAGGGTCTTCCCAGCATGGGTTCCAATACAGGTGGCGCACAGTCCTTGGATTTCTTACGCAATAGCCCGCAGGTTTACCTTTTACTCATGTTGTCCACTTACGTGATTCTTGCCCAAAATCTTTCTCTAGGTAGTGATAATTGGATGTATGGATTAGAGCTTATGTGTTCCAACAATTGTTTTCTGTTCTCAGTTTCAAGCCTTGAGAACAATGGTCCAAGCCAACCCACAAATCTTGCAGGTTTGACTCTTGCAGAAGTCTATGGTTAATTGAGATCGAGAATTAATACATATGTTATTCATTTATTGTTATTATCATTGTTTTTAATTTAAAATATTTTTTTGGGTTGCAGCCCATGCTTCAAGAATTGGGGAAACAGAATCCTCAATTAATGAGGCTTATACAGGAGCATCAGGCTGATTTTCTTCGCCTCATCAATGAGCCTGCTGAAGGAGGAGAAGGGTACATTTGATCTTAGGTTTTGGCATGTTTTTTTGATACATAATTTACAAACCTAACTTATGTTTTTATTATCAGCAACGTACTTGGGCAGCTTGCAGCAGCAATGCCCCAGGCTATACAAGTAACACCTGAGGAGCGTGAGGCAATTGAACGTGTAAGTGCTTATTCTCTCCATGATTTGGCATATGCATACTCTTTTCAATGGTTTGTTTGTGTGATCATATGAAAAACGTCCCATATGAGATGCAATCAATTTTTATTAGAAAAATAAGGCGGTGTTATGGTAAATTTGAAGCAATTAATCTGCATCACATATAGAAAGTGCATAATTGTCTACCCAAGTGTGCGTCAATGTATAATAAGCAATGCACTTGCTGAATGGAATTTGCATTAATGACAAAAACAAGGTAGCAATTTTGTAAACATGCACAAGTTTTAAAAAAGTGCTATCACTTGTAAAAGTGTTACACTATCAAATGGTATTGGTTCTCGAACTATTTTAGTACTTCATCTTTAGCTGATCATTCATTCTCATTCCTTAAATGATGACGTGTTCTCGAATGTATATAGATCCCCAAAAACATCTGTTTGTATTACGAATCTTAGTAACAAAATATTAAATTTTAAGTGATGCAGCGCAGATTTGTGACAGGTGATTGCTGTTAGTGCCAGTCGTATACACTTGTCATGATACTTGTAGTTGATAGGGACTGAATTCTAAACGGTCTAGCATAATAAACTTTCTTTTCATCATACATTTCAGCTCGAAGCGATGGGATTTGATCGAGCACTTGTACTGCAAGTATTCTTTGCTTGCAACAAGAACGAAGAGTTGGCCGCCAACTATCTGTTGGATCACATGAATGAGTTTGAGTAATGATTGAAAAAATGGAGTTTCGATTAATTATTATAGTAATTTTCCTTTCTCGTGCTAACGGTACACACGCATTAGCTTCCCATTCAACATTTTGTGGTTTCCGTGTGCATTGTAACTATATTTCTGTTGTTGAATTTCGAGTGATTTTGTGTTATAAACTTATGTCGAACATAGATTATTAATGTGTACCAGTAGTGTTTTCAAATATTGTCTTTTTAATTCCGTTTCAAGTTGGTTGACACTAGGGATGGACTCCGGTCCGGGTCCGGGTCGGGCCTAGGCCCGGGCGGGCCGGCGGGTCAGAAATGGTGGACCCGGGACCGGCCCGGGTAACCACCGGGTCCGGTCCGGGGCCGGGGCCGGGCCCATTATATATATTTTTTTGTTTTCCTCTTCCTAATTAACCCCCCTCCCACCCCCAACCCCCCAAACCACCCCAAATGGCCCAAAATACCCAGCCCAACCCGAAAATTTAAAAAAAAAATGAAAGAAAAAAAAATAGTTTTTGGCCTGAACCGGGCCCGGCCTTGTTTTGGGTGACCCGAGCCCGGACCGGAAAATCCACGGGCCGGGCCTACCCGGACCGGTCACTGACTGGGCCACCGGGTCGGGCCGGGCCGGGTCGGGCCGGGCCGGGCTGGGCCGGAACAGTACTGGACCTGGGTCGGGCCTCCCGGGCCGGTTCCGGGTCGGGCCACCCGTCCCGAGTCCATCCATAGTTGACACCATTACGCAAGTTGCACTGGTGGCTTGTCTCTATATTTTGAGGTGTGAATTACCAGTTTATTGGTAGTACCTTTTGCAGACATCATTTGTTCCAATAGAAAAACAAACAACAAAGTAAACAAGTTTACAATAGTTTTGTTCGTAAACAACAAATTCAATACATACAAAGGGATGGTGAAGGACCGGGCCAGTTGTCCGGATTTTTTGTTTGAGTCATTTCTTTTTGAAAAATTGGATTGAACTTGGAATTCGATCCTGTTTTTCTGTATAAGGTTTCAGTTCCTTTTTACCTCTATTCAGAACTGGACCAGTTTAGGATTGTTTCTTGGTGTCTGATGCATGAAAGTGAACTCTCATCGTCACTTCGAAAAATAAGACAACAATATTGTTCAATGTTGCAAAGACTCCCACCTAATGCACATAGTAATTGTTTTTGGATGACTCATGATTAAAATTACGTTGAAAATTGCATGATTGATTGTTATTTCATAACAAAGAAATGTGAATGGTTTAGTTGGCTATATTTCTTTATTCCATCATATTTTCAAGTAAAAAATAGTGAATCTTTCACTTCATTTTGTGGCTTTTGTTTTGTCAAGCACGTGACATTTGGCATAATATTCATGATTCATGAAGAAATTTCTTCATTTTTTTGACACCCAATTTCTTCATTTTTTTGACACCCAATTTCTTCTTCATTATTAATGATGGAGCATATGGGTCTGGATCTCAGGACCCACATACTCAGAAGAATAAGAAGCACAACCGTCACCCAGTGGGGCATCGGTCGGCCAGATGGCTGATGGCCCTCCATCGGCCAGAAAGATATCAACTCAGAATAAGGCCCAGAAGCCAGGAGAATCGGGTGTCCCCGTCGGCCGGGTCTTCATTGACCATGGCTCCGTCGGCCATGGCTCCGTTTGCCTCGTCATGGGGTATACTCCGAAGTATATTCCGAAGTACCCCGGCGGTGGATTAAGTACGTGGTCCGTCGGCTTAGGCGCCCTAACCCTACCAAACGGTCCCACGTACATCTGGGTAACCAGATACTTGGCCGCGCAGCTCTGCGGCCTAATGATACGAACGTTGGTGAGATCCAGGTAGGAGAAAGCGGGACCTTTCTTCGGCCGGCGCCTTCTCTTCGAGGCGGTCCCCTTAACTGCAGACATCGGCTTCGGACAGGGAATGACGGCCGATGTGGATGCCCCGTCCACTGCACGTGATGCTCCAACGTGCTCACCCTCAGACGACGACGCGACTTCCTCGTCTGCATTCTCCTCGTCCCTCTGTTCCCCAGATCAAAAAGGACTCAAATCCTCCATCTCCTCGCAGAACTCTTCCACCACTCCATAATCCAGGGACTTGGTAGAGGCCTCGTCGTCATACGGGTAGTACTCTTCGTCCAAAGTCTTCATCTTAACAGCTAACGAAGCCCTAAATGGAACTACTTTGGATCTAAGGTTGGTTTTTGACTAACACTAGATCAATGCCTAGGGAAGCAAAGTATGTAAAAAAGAGGAGAAAAGTTTGATGAACGGACCTTTGAAGTTTTGAAGTTTTGAAGAACACTCGAACAAGCATTTATCTCTCTAGAAATTTGGGCAACGCTTCGTTATCTCAGAAAACAATAGGGAGTTCCTTCGGATGGAGGGTGGTATTTATAGACCTCCCCCCAACAGTCACTACACATGGCACTCCCCCATTGGCCACATGACGGCCACCACTCCCAAGGCCCAATAAGTTGACACCGATTCAAAAGATGGGCCAGGCCCACTTCCATAAGTACCAGTCCATTACCAACGTACCAGCAGTCAGCACCCATAACGGCCAAGGAATTCAACGGCCACACCAAGAAGAAATATCTGCCTCCACAGGGCACTACATCAGCCCTAGTAGCCAATAATCATTTCAACGGTTGGTCACACCACAAAGTGTGCCCACATCAGCTTAACACGCTGCCAACAACAGGACCCCTTCAACGGCCACAACAGCAAAGCAAAAAAGAACCCAACCGTCATCGGTCTTGTATAAAACCCCTGATGATAACTTCTTGAAAGCGACCTGCGTCCAAGGGTTCTCCCACAGGGTTACCTTGATCAGGAATCGCTAAGGGGTTGGATTCAGGGGAATGCAAGGATCCCGCTTTGACCTAGGGTTACACCTTACTCCTTCACCCCTCGCTCACTCTTCGACCTGAAGCAGTGGGGGACTGGGGGACTACACCGGCCTCCAAAATACAAGCAAGGACAAAACTAAAAATCCAAAAAATAACACAAGTCCATAACTACAGCAACAGTATGCCATACATGCACCATAATGGTGCACCCTCGGCCGCAACAAAGTCAGCAAACAAAGAAGTATTGTAACAACCGTCCCCAAACGGCCATTACCATACTTAACATAAACAAGACTCAATATACAAAGCGGAATATTACAGAATACAAAGTCTCGTCATAAAACTTTATTTCTTATATACATAAGAAAACTCCATAACTCAAATGTCAAAAGACCAACAACAATCGCGCTTAACACAAAGTCATCACACCTGATCAGGATTTTTAAAACAAAACATAAAACAACTCATAAAAGTGTCATAGTAAAACAACAAAACATGAGACACAACCAGGTCGTTTCCGTTAACCCGTCCATAACCTCACCACCTGGCCCGAACATTCTCTCAGGCTTCCATTCTTCATTCATTACCTATACATGAGACACAAGAGAATAGAAGTCTCGTAAGCAAAATTTGCTTAGTAAGTCACCATTACATCCACTAAAATAACGGAGTCTTAGCTAGCCATAATTAGATACATAAGCTAGAATACATCATACACATAGATATTCACACCATATTCATATAATGTAAAATACAACATCATGTAACAAAATCTAAAAGATTTCCTCATTCATTATTCTTTCTTCTTATCTTATTACTTAACTTGATGGGCCCATAGCTCGTGTCATGGCCCCTCTCTAATGACCTTGGGTAGCTAGCCCGCAGCCATCCGAAGTAATCCCGAGACTCCCCGCGGAAGGAGATCCCGCTCCGTTCAGCTCAAGTGATTACTTGGGGGAACGGCTACCTTATAACATTTCTTATCATTCATGTAATATCATTACCATCACAACTTTCATTCTTTGTTGGAGTTCATATACATCCAACCTAACATTAACCATAGAACTTGGATACCTTACATTGATAACTCAACAAGTTCTCCATCAACACCACCTATCAATATATACACATAACATGGCATTCACATAATATCGTACCATACAAAGTCAAGCATTCAAACCAACCTATCCAATTCATACGTAGCTAGACTTCCATTTTTCTTTCATTTCAAACTATCATGTATAGGTGGTGATGACTTACCTGATTCACGTGGAGTTTTTACCCTTGATCGTGCGTATAAAGCGTCCACGGGCAACGGTTCTTCGATTGAGCAACTATATACATCGTTGACATTTTATCAACAAAACCTCATGTTTTTAACCAAAACCTTAAAACTTAGGCATAAGGTGAATTCAACAAACAACCAGTTCCCGAACATGATAGCCTTCTAAAACTCCTAATCTCAATCGGTCAAATTTTCGGGTAACTAGACAACCAACTCCCGATTGAACTTCATACTCAAGAGTCAACAATAACTAACCAATAATCATACTATCAAGAGTTCTACACATCTAATTAAAATCAGTTTATATATATTAAAAGATTCCCCAAATTTCTTCATCAAATTGACATAGTTTTGATATAGCTAGTTATTCAAGAATAGACTTAAAACTTCTTAAACCAAGGATAAACAACAACTATACAACCTTCCTATCATCCATAATTTCATTAATTTCTTAGAATCAACCCAAAACTCATTCAACCCTAGTATAATCTCAAAACGAGAACTATGAATTGAACATTTTTAAAATACTTCATATAGAGTGTAAATCTTACCAATTTAATGATTCTTGATGAAAGATTATGTTAAACTTGAGCTTCAATCACTTTGGAAAAGGTCTGGGATTGATTTGTAGAGAGAGGGGTGCGTAGGGATCGAATTTGGGCTGAAAAGGGGTTTTCTTCGCTTAAAACGCTATTTGACCAACCTGCCAAAACCGACCAAACCGGCGCCGGTTTGCCCCTGACCGGCGCCGGTTGCCCCTGCAACCCAACACCGTAAACGTTTTGTTTTGAACCGGCGCCGGTTTGGGCCCAACCGGCGCCGGTCCGGCACCCCCAGGTGCCGAAAACGCCCTTTTTCGCCCTAAATCAACCCCGATTGTTGCCGATCCCATCCTAGACCCCGATGACATTTTAAACTATATTTTAAACACCTGAATACTATCTAACATGACAACTAACTTGAAATATCATTCCTTTCGAAATAAAATGATTATTATAGTATATTTTCGTTGTTCATCGAATACCGTCACCTGTCACGTTCAAACATAATACAAACATGTGAATTCAAATATGATTATCACAAAGTTCATATTCACATATATACCATTCAAACCATAAGTTAAAACATGATCTTAATGAAAACGATTAATACATAAGAAATAGATAAAAGTACGGGCGTTACAAGTATCTCCTCCCAAAATGTGACGCGTATCGTCCCTTGACGCGCACCACTCAATGGCTCTAAGATCACATACTACACTCTCGGCCAAGAAATGAAAACAGGAACTCAACATCCTCGGGTCACCATCGTCCATGAGATCAGAACACGCACAACTTCTTCTGGATCAGTAACGCTATCGTCCTCAAAGATGGACACCAAACTACGAATACCACCGCTTCGGCCTGAAGCACGAAAGCTTTCATGAGGCCTCTTCGGCCAAGACACCAAAAGCAACCGTCAACGACCAGAAAGAAGAAACATCACCCGCATCAGATCAAGAGCACATATCGGCCACTAAGCCAGGACACTCATCATCCTCAAACAAACAAACTTACCCCATCAGGGGAACATCAACCTTCTTCGTCCACAGCGAAGGGCATACAACGGCCAACACGAAGAACCAAAACAAGAAATGGCCACAACGGCCATAACGGCCAGGAGACATCAAGACTATGGAATCTACTATCCCTCACTTCGTCTGCATCTCAGCTCAGAGAGTGGGGGACTCCTGATGGAGTATATGGGCCTGGACCCCAGGACCCACATACTCAGAAGAATAAGAGGCACAACTGTCACCCAGTGGGGCCTACGTCAGCCAGATGACCCTCCATCGGTCAGAAAGATATCAACTCAGAACAAGGTCCAGAAGCCAGGAGAACTGGGTGTCCCCGTCGGCCTTAAAGGGCTCCCAGAACCGGATTTCACACTTAGTTACTTCTACATATTTTGTACTCAGCCCAATAGTGGCCCAATTGTAAATGGGCCTCCCAAGCCCAAGACTTGGGAGCCCAACCCTAATTTCCTCTATAAATACTCCCCTTGGGAGTAGTTGTAGGGGGTTCACAAATCATTAATATCAAGCATTCATAGCACTTCTCTCTCTAGCTCTCACTTCTCTCTAAGAATATATACTCTATCAATTAAATTAAATGTTCACATTTATCATAAAATATGATGATACCGGATGTGAAATAATTCAAAGGATTGATTTCTTATTACATTCATGATTCCTTTG